CCTATGAATAGCACAGAGCGGCCAGGGTGGGGAAGAGGCACGGGGTGGCGCTGTGTAAAGTGACAGAAGGTCACCTGTGCAGAAGGAGCTAAGGGAAGACTGGAAGAAATAGTGGCTTTTTGTCCTCATTCTTTATTTAGACTTGCTCCTTCAAAGGACTAGAGTAGTGGAGGGGAAATATAAGCTGTTAAAGCCAATAATGTATTTTCAGACTTAAAACTAGGGCTTAAACATTTCCAATATCGGAAACCACTTTCCCACTATCTTGTGAATTAAGACACCTTGACCATTACAGAGACCTTTTGAGACAAGGAGTCAAAACGCCATTGTCATGAATTATTTCTGAGTAAGGGGAGCACTCTGGAACTGCTCGGGACCACTTCAGAAACAGTATGTCACTTTCTTTTGAGAAACTATTTTTATGAGGAAAAAAATGCATGGACAATGAAATGCAAATTCCTATTTGCTTAGCTCTCTTTCAAACTTCCCCTGGAAACATGATATTAATAATAAAACAGTCACCAATTTAACATACAGAAGTCTGAGGAATGACCATTACCAGCCTTCATCATCCATTACAGAAGGTGATCTAAGATGACCAGAGCATAACATATTTTTAAAAAAATACCCATAGTATGTGAGTGGTGAGCAAAGAAAAATCTAATGTAACTGCATTAAGATAAACGATTACCAAATGGAATGCTTAAAACAGTTGCCTTTTAATAAAAGTTGTAACATATTTCATCTGGCCTCAAGAAAAATCTGAAATAAAGACCCTGGAAAAGCAATGAATACTTTATAAATATCAGAGACTGGATGTAAACAGACTTAAAAATGAGCAGTAGGAAAAAAAACCCACTTAATGAATATTCTCTTCTGGACCACGGTTTTTAAAATTTACTTCCATAATTCCAGATGCAGACTAATTTGTCACGGTTTCTGGACTGATCTCTTTAAGTCACTTTCTATGTGCGTTCAACTTGTCCAATGCCACGCTCAACAATAATGTATTTAAGAAAAGGCAGAGCACACAGAGGAGGAAAATACTACTACAGTACAAGGAGAATAGGTTTCACTGCAAAAAAAGGCATATTTGATATTATAGACACATGTTCCTATTTTTCACATCAGTCACTTATTCACACCGAAGGTTACACTGTAACTTCTCCCAATTACACAGTACAGCAAGCCTCTCAGGATGTCATCCAGGAAAGAGCCATCAGTACAGCTGTGTTTCTAGCAGCCACCACTAAACCGGCTGGGTATCAGACACTGACACTTTCGGGAGAATGAAGGGCATCACTAGATCACACGGACTCAATGTTAACTAGTACAAAGAGCACTGAAAACAAATGTCCTTTACTCATTTATAAAATCCTAATTCACTCCTGAACTGGAGCTCTGGGATTACAGCCGCGTCTCAGAGCAGTTTTCTGCACATCGTGCTACATCACCGCTTGCTGGTTCTGTGGTAATCTCTCACGGCTTCTAAAGAAAATGAAATGCAGTGCAGCCATGTGGTAACAGGCCTCTGCTACCGGGTGGGGGGGTTGGGATCACCTCCCTGTGGCTCGGTCCTGGGCTCACGTGGCTGTTGTTGCTTTCAGCCAAATCTCTTCTCAACACTGATCTGAGAAGGACACCTATTTACATTTCCTTCTGTCATGCTGAATATGTAATGAGCCACACACATTAAAAAAAAAAAAAAATTTTTTAAAATACCACTGGTTTTCAGCTAAGAGAATTATGGACGCAATTTAAAATCTGACTTTATTAATTAGAAAAACTATATGAGGGTAACATAGGAAGGTTTTCTTGTAATTTCTGAATGAAAACTATTGGATAACTTTTTTCTATTCTGCTTTCATGACCACAGTCATCACACTAGTATGGTAGACCTTCCAAATACATCTTTATATATTTGTGTGTGTATATATATGTGCGTGTATGTAAATAAATGTATATGTATGTATGTATAGTATATGTACATATACACACACAGTTTGTTACTAGTTAAAGCAAATAAATGCTCTCTCTAAGAAAATGAAAATCAAATACGAGAAATAGATACAGTGAGAGCCTAGGGTTAAATTTTAGTTCTTTGTGTTGGCTACCTCCTGTTAGCACTTAATTAGAATTAACTCTTGGATTGTGAGGGCAGATAATCAGTAATTAGCCTTGTCCCACAAAAGGCAAAAGCTTTAATACACCTAATGATATAATTTAGTGGACAGGAAAGAAACTGTTATGTGGCTCACATATTTGCAAAAATTACTTTCTTCTAGAATTTAAAATTTCCTCAAACATTTCACATAAAATAGGTCATACTTTCCTGCTGACTGCATTTGAGAAACAGTAAAAGCAGCATAAAAAATTCTTCTAAACTTTCAAAATACCTGACTAAAAACAAAGATTCTTTTAGGCAAGATGAGTTTACAATTCTGGCTTATAGGACGAAAACCACTTCCTAAAATTTAGTTTATAATGTAACATAAATGATAACAATGCATAACATGAATGTCAAAGTTGAATTTTTAAAAATACAGAAATTTTTTTCAGAATTACCTTTCACACATTTAAACTGTAACATTTGGCTGAACGTGAAACTTTGTTAAAGAAGCCACAGGCTTTTGTCCAAATCAAAGACCACATTTACAATGAATAAAGTAAAATGAAATTTATGAAATACTGTACTTTCAGGTCAAAACCATGAGGGTACATCAATACTATAGTTCAGTAAGGTACCCAATGGTCTAAAGAGCAAGCCTGCTCCTAAAATTTACTCCGTTTCTCCCTCCCCGGCCCCTCACAGATTGTGCTATTACTTTTTCTCCTAGGATTTATACCGGAGGGCCTTCTAGTTTCTTTCAAAATACACTTATAATACTTTAAGTCACAACTTATTCTTAGCACAGATTCTCAAATCAAGAGAGAGATTTCAGTGCATATTTTATGGCTATATTGCATAGCCTGTATTTCAGAACTTCTGGGGGAAATTCTGATAATGAAATTTCAAGATGATATGACTATTTATAAAGAAATTTTCTCTCTGAAAATGATTTCACACTTTAGAGAGCATGCCTGCTTCCCTGGCAGTAAGTAAAGACGTTGTGAAATACAGTAAAACTTCGAAGTGGTCAAGTGCTTCTAAAGGACATTACTGCAGCATGCACAATACTAGTGTGCAATGTGCCATGGCCATCACCAAGTGCTAATGGAACCCCAGGATGTAGAGATTGTTGGGGTCAAACTCATTACTACTAAGTAAGCAATGAAAATGAAAGATGAATTCAGAGAGCAAGGACCATGGCACCTTCCTGATGAACTTTTTCCCTAATCCAAGGGCATTCCGCCATTATCTTCTAGTGAGTGAGGATTGTGCTTAGGCTCAAGAGGTCTTCATGGGAGAGACCAGGCTGACTGAAACATGACATTCAACCAGATTACCCCAATAAAGCTCACTTTGCAACTTCAGAAATGTATCAAAGAGCAGTCACAAAATCAAGCCAAGAATGCAAGGGATGGAAAAAACATGCCAGTGAGCTGGTCCCTCCCATTTTCAAGATGCTTCGTCCTCCCAACTGCATCCTTTGTCATGAGTGAAAACAGCAAGTTTATTCAATCTGAAAAGCCAGACATGTCACAGAAGCAATGAATAACTGCGTCTTTACCCCTTTTATCAGTGTAGGAAAACGTCCCTTTCTGTAGCCACACTGTATAATAGCAGGTTCCTTTTAAAATGAAAAGTGAACAAGTTTCCCAGTGTTGGCCTTACAAAGTCTAAAGAGATGATTAAATTAAAGCCGGGCTGAGCTCTTAATCTGAGTTATTGCAGCCACTGATTTTTGTAAAATGAAGGGAGGGAAAAAGTCCCCATAGGCAATTTGCATTTGCAAGGAGTGGACTGTAGTATCCACCACTGTTTTCTTAAAAATGTAACTGAATCTTAATGGAATTATAATACCTTCATGAGGTTAATAATGCAGTCATTCCTAGTCATATTTCGTTCTTTCCGTTTTTGTTACCATTTCCATTATTTCAGCATTGCCCATTGAAATCACTGAAAACGATCCTTTGTGTTTATTCCACTGATTTCTCTGGTGAGCCAGATGACTTTGACCAGGAGCTCCAAGTACCATTTGAAAAGTTAAGTCTTGAAAAACCTTCAGTATTTTAAACACTTGATTAGAAAAAAGATAACAACTACGTGTAATTATCTAGCTTATGTGCTTTATGGTGTCTTTTCAAAATGAGAGTATAAATCATTGTACATAAAATCAAAATAGTTAATATACATTTTTTCTGGCACTTTCTAGAAATTAGGCATTAAACATAAAATGTCTTATAAATTTATATAACAAAAATAAATGTTTACATTTTAATTTTAGATAGATTACCTTAGGGTAGCAGTTAACTTAGGAAATCTCACACTGTTGGGGTGGCAGCAGGGAGCATCAGAAATACACATTCAAGTCCACAGCCCTTCGGAAACGGACGCCATGGCTGCCGTCCAAATATGTGGTCTGTGTCCCAACGTAGAGATTAAGGCTCTCTGTTTCAGAGGAATGAGCTCTGGGCTAAATCAAGTATAGAAGTACCACAATGTTCATTGAAAATACTGAAAAGGCTCTGAAGAGTTTCAAATACTGGGATGGGGGCGGTGGGGAGGGAGACACGCTTTGACTAGAAAAATAAAATAAAGCATCTAAGAATGACTTCAAGTACTTTGCGAGAGGCTGCCGATGTGGAGAGCCCAAATCAGAAGGAATGAAGACGTATGAAACTCCAGGGGCAGTCCCGGTGCCGTCCGCCCGCGGAGTTCATTTTTCCAGGTGCGGCTCTGTGAAGAGGCCTGTGAGCTGACCATTTCTTCCCATCTTAAAACCCCTAAGTGGAAGGCAAGGGCCAAGCCTTGGGGGAGAATCTTCTTGGAATGAACCGTTGGAAGTCGGAAGATTTCAAGGGGAAGAAAGCCATACATTTAAATATTAGGGGCAGATATTAGGAAAAGAAAAAAAAAATGGAAGGAAAATCTGGCTCTTCTGAACGGCAGTATTTCAGGCAGGAGGGGTTGTGGTTCTCGATGAATGCAGTTCTTCCCTACGTCTTCGCTTTCCTCACGAATAGGATGAAACCACCGACAGCTGGGACCTTTCCAGAGGGCGAGGGTGCATGAAGGAGATGTGCTTGGACGTGCGAGTGCCCCCCCCCCCCCCCCCCCCCCGGCAGGGACACACTCGGGTGCACTCAGGTACGTACCTCGTTCTTTCCGANGCAGGCAGGGACACACTCGGGTGCACTCAGGTACGTACCTCGTTCTTTCCGACCCTGCTAAAAAGTCTCCACGTCTTCAACTGTCTTCAGGTTACCAGAGCAGCATAGAGCGTACGGTTGGTATCTTGTCTCCCACAGGAGAAATGCCCCCCAGGCGGCTGAGCACGTCTGTCTGGGGTTGTCTTCTGGGTTGCTAGAGCCTGGTGATGTCTCTGCACTGCTGCAGGTCCCCAATGCTCTCATAGTCATTCTCCTTCGGGAAAAGACCGCGGTGGCCATTGGTTTCTGGGGTGGTCTTGTCTTCCTCTCTGTTTAGAGCCTGTATTGCTTCATAATCCGGCTCGGGCTCCTCACTCGGTCTCACTGCTGCTGGAAGCGTGCTACCGCTGTTTGGAGTTTTCTCGAAGTCTTTAACAGTAGCATAGAGATCATTACAGGACGAGGGGGATCTCTGAGCAGCGCTCTGGATGGACGTGTAGGTGGACTCTGGCGCTTTAAGAGACTGTCCTGATTTATTCCCTGACTGCCCAGGTTTATTTACTGATGAATACATGGCTGAGATCTAGAAAAAAAAGGGTGAATGAAATAAATAAGCCTCAGGTTTGACTTCTTCCTCCCTCTTTACTGTGACAAGCTAGATATTTAGCACTACAGGGATGTGTATGCCTCTTTATGATTTTTTTTTTTTTGCCAATTCTCCCTAGCTTTAGTGAGATATTACTGACATATAGCATATGTAAGTTTAGGGTATACAACATGGTAATTTGATACACATATATACTGTGAAATGATTACCACAGAACTTAGTTAACTCCTTCATTATCATTTTGCGTGTGTGTGTAGTGATAGCAATGAAGATCTACTCTCTCAAGTATGACAGTATACTTGATAGTATACTGTTAATTATAGTCACCGTGCTCTATATCATATCGCTGGAACTTACTCAACTTACAGCTGGGAGTTTGTACCCTTTGACCAACATTTTCCCTACTCCCCAGTCCCTGGCAACCACCATTCTACTTGCTATTTTAAGAGTTTTGGCTTTTTTAGATTCCACATGTACACGAGAACATATAGTATTTGTGTTTCTCTGTCTGACTTACTTCCCTTAGCATAATGTTCTCAAGGTCTATCCAAGTTGTCACAAAAGACAGAATCTCCTTTTTCGTGACTGAATAATATTCCATTGTTTGTGTTTGTATGTGCGTGTGTGTATACACACATATATACATATATGTATATATTTATAATGTATGTGTGTGGATATGTATCTCACATTTTCTTTATCCATTCATTGGCCGATGTATACTTAGGTTGTTCCCATGTCTTGACTATGGTGAACAATGCTGCAAAGAACCTGAGGGGACAAATATGTCTTCAAGACAGTGACTTCATTTCCTTCAGCTATATACCCAGAAGTGGGCTCTTAACGTACTAATCCTGAAGTACGCTACTAGAGAACAATTATACATGTTATCTTCAACTTTGTAAATAGACCAGTTGTATGAGCATAAGCAGATGACGACCCGGTTCTCTCTGGGTCTTCAGGAAGGAGGAAAGCAGAGAGAATGAGGAGTTCAAGAGGCCCCAGGACCTGACTACAGTATCATGTTTTACTCGATTTCGACATCAGACTATTTTACCTGAAACAAAGGCTCTACTGTTTTAAGAAAAAAGGGCAGAAAACAGATGTTAGATAAATGGTTCTCAAAAGGCAGGTTTTGAACTGGCAGCAAGCAGGATCTGGGAATTTATGAGAAAGGTAATCCTCAGGTCCCACCCCAGAAGCACTGAGACAGAAACTCAGGGGTGGGGCCCAGCACTCTGTGCTGATTCTGATACCCACTAAAGTGTGAGAACCACCAACTTGGACTATATGGTCCATTCTATCTGCAATGAAGTGGTCTGAAAAGTAGGTCCTGGATCCTGGCCAGCAATCTACTTATATCTGTAAAAGCATCATTTTCCATTAATTTTCAACTTCATTGCCTATTATGGATTAAGCAGGCATTTACAGATGGGGATAAGTTTTCTTCAGCGGGAAAAAATCATTCTTGTTTGCAACCAGCCAACCCAGACATGAAATTTGGAGACAATTCACTTACAGGACTCTCTTTCCTATGTGAAGACTGGGCTATTTTCCGGACACACCTACTCAGTCTCATTAACATACTCCATATAACCTCTACTATCAAGAGGGATTTTATTTTCTTTGGCAATGACAGATTAAACATACTGATTAAGAGATTTTTGTGTGTGTGGAGGGGTATTATTTTAATTTTAGAAAGGATGGTTGGAAATAAGAAATATCCTTCATTACCTTCATTGGCCATAATGATTGATTTACCCAAACACCCGGGAAATAAATGAACATGCCTCCTGACAGATGCTTGATTCCCAAGTGCGGAGAGAGATTTTCTTGCTTTCGCATATCGTACATACTGTGGATGGATTTTCCAGCTGGCCTCGAAAGCTTCGTAAGACAGGCCTGCTGCATGTTAACAGGTCATTTGCATGAGAACTTTTCAGGGCTGGTGGCTCTGTTTTGCCAGGCCTTGACAATCCAAAGATTTAGAGCCAGAGGAATCATCTTTAGGAAACTCTTTGCCATGTTGGTCTGACCCTTCTAATGACTATTAAATTAACCTTCTCACCTGAGAGAGCTGAATGGAAAATTACTCTTGAAATGAAGAATTATAATTTCTTTGATATTAGGAAGAATATATCACCTGCTTTTCATAGTGAGGTGCAGATATATGGAACTTATGATCTAAAAGGTGGTCTGAGCCAAAAATGTGGACAGATATAAAGGGTGAATCATGGAAGGCAGTGAGTGAAGAGGGGGTCCAGCAAGGTAGAAATGCAATCTTCACCCTCAGGGGCAACTGAGGGGGACAAACCCAGCTTTACCTGCCCTGTAACAATGAGGCCCTGTAACACAGAGGCCCACTGTGGCTCTGCTCCTCAACCTTCTCCCCTCCCCCCGCAACGATGCCTGCCATTAATGCCTGGCTCCTTGCAGGTACTTGGGTTTTCTTGTCTTTTACACTCCTTTTTAAAAGTTAAAGGCTCTTTCACTAACTTGCAACTTAATATTGTCTCTGGGCACAAACCTAATGTGCAGAGGATCTTGTAAATGTTAACACTTATGAAAGATTCTCAAGTCTTCTGATCGGATACATGCCTTCTAGGACTATGATTTCTGTTTCGTATACAGATTCCTTTCAAGTCCCGTTGCTATTTAGCTTCACAATTTTTCTCTTTTAATCTTTCATCTTTATTATTCAAGCTGCAAATTGTTATGTTCTTATAAATTACCCTCTTTTCCCCATTTCTCTTCCTATGATCAACCCTCTCCCCCCATCGTTCTGTTAAACTGGGGTAAGTGGACATAAAACTCATATCTCCGTTTCTGTCCGGACTGGCTAACATTATAGTACATAAATACAAAAATAAGTGACTTCCATAATTAGTTTTTGTAAAGCATCTTCCCACAATGAATATATGTGAATCACTTCTTTAATCTATGTTAAAAATTCATCATTTTAATTAGATCCTATTTTCCCAAACCACAAATAATGTAAGGTCAGAAGAAAAGTAATTTAAATTTGTACTTAGTCTCAACATTATTTTAAAGGATTGGTTTCAAGATCTCTCATTTATTCTTCTTTCTGGTCCCAAGTGGGATGGCTCTGGTGCAGTGTGGACAACAGACTGGTGCCACCAGGCTGGTGAGGGGCGGGCACAGCAGACACGGACAGAGCAGTGTGTGAATGAAACCTTTTGGAGGTAGAATTCAGGGGACCTGCTACTGCCTGAGTCTGAGCCCATACAGGAAATGGGGTGTCACGGATGAGGCCCAGAGTTGTGGCTTGTGTGAACAGGCAGCTAGATGGCAGGTCCATTCCCTGGGGCAGGAAACAGAGAAGCAAAAGGGCAAGATTGCCTATGGAAAGTTCTTCTGCTCTTTGAACTCCCACTGTGGGACTGTAGTCTATTTCATTTCTCAATACTCTATGATAGGAGGGGATGTCCCTGCATATGCATATCGTTTTCCTACATGCACAAAATTTACCCTGCTAGGAACTCCAGAGAGAGGCTATATGCAGCTGGATAAATTAAGGTGTTCAGCTCTCTAAGCCTAGCTTGACATCATCACATATATACTGGTTTGTACGATGTTAACGCTTCACTGAAAAGTTTAGCTGGTGAGTATTCAGCCCAGGTACTCGGGAGCAGACAGGCCTTTCCTGCCGGCTGCTGCGTCTGACTGCGGCTGCAGCCTGACCTGTACTTCCTGGAGTTAGTTACCTGTTCTCTGCCTCCAAATTCCTTATGAAAACCTTCCCCCTCCACTTCCCAGACTGGATTAAATTCTTTACACCTACCTGTTCCAGTTTCCTGTATTTTCCAACCCATCATTAATTTCCTTCAAAGGTGGACTTCGTGACTGCTAAACTACTCTCAGTTAAATTTCTGTCTTCTCATTCTATTTTCTCCCCTCCTCTTTTTTTTTTTTCTGTTCCTTCTTTCCTGTTCTGTTTCTTTCACTTAGATGACCTGTTCATCCTGCCTTCCTTTTTCTCCTAACATCTGCCAGTCACTTGAGCCAACATTCCCGGATCCTGGTCTCCAGACATATGCTTAAGAGTGTTTCAGCTTTTTCAGAGAAGAGTAACATGACAGTGCATTTATGCAGGGAGAGCAGCTCTATTCTTTAGAGCTTTCTTATTATTTAAAAAGCAATAAAACTCACCTCTTCTTCTGTGAGAGTTGGGTCCTCTTCCCGGGACTTGTAGGACAATGAACTAAATCTCTGTCAAAACAAACACAAACCAAGGGAAGATACAGTTTGAAGTCAATAACCCAACCTTTCTTTTGCATATGCTTTGACACATCTATAAAAATATTTTCAAATTAATTTTAGAGAAGTTATTTTCTACAAAGAAATTATGTCAAGGGGTGCCTGGTGGGCTCAGTCATTTAAGGGTCTGACTTCAGCTCAGGTCATGATCTTGTAGTTCTTGAGTTCGAACCCTGCACTGGGCTCTGTGCTGACAGCTCAGAACCCGGAGGCTGCTTCAGTTTCTGTGTCTCCCTCTCTCTCTGCCCCTCCCCTGCTTGCACTCTGTCTCTGTCTCTCAAAAATAAACATTAAAAAATTTTAAAAATTGGGGTGCCTGGGTGGCTCAGTCAGTTAAGCGTCCAACCTCAGCTCAGATCATGATCTCACAGTTCATGGGTTCGAGCCCCATGTCAGGCTCTGTGCTGACAGCTAGCTCAGAGCCTGAAGCCTGCTTTGGATTCCGTATCTCCCTCTCTCTCTGACCCTCCCCTGCTCAGGCTCTTTCTCTCTCTCTCAGAAGTAAAAAAAAAAAAAAAAAAAAATTTAAAAATTTAAAAATCAAAGAAATTATGTCAAGAAACTGAGGATAAACACTTAGAAAAAAATCTATTGTGTTGGGGAACCTGGGTGGCTCAGTTGGTTGGGCGTCTGACCCTTGATTTCAGCTTAGGTCATGGTCCCAGGGTTGTGGCATTGAGTCCCATGTTGGGCTCCAATGCTTCCTGTGGAGCCTGATTGAGATTATCCCTCTCTCCTTTATCCCTCTTGCTCACCTTAGGCTCTCTCTTTCTCTCATATCTATTGTATGATGTTTTTCAATACCCAGTAGTATTAAATACCCAGTGCCCTTCCTGGTCATTGGTGAATTCAGCCTTCAGGTGGGTTCTAAATGCCGCGCTATGTTGGAACAGCCTTGCCACTATACCTGGTCCCTGCTGGTCTGGCTATTTACTTCCCACCTTCCTTGCCCTTCCCTGGTGACCTGGAGAAAACTGAAGAAATCAGGAGAAATTTCTATGAACTTGTACCCTACCCCGCCCCCTTCTCTGCATCCATGAATTTTCCTTCCTCCCTGTCACCAAAGAAGTCTCTAAGCCCGTCTTTTTTTTTTTTTTAATTTTTTTTTTTTTTTTTTATTTCCAGGAGAGAGAGAGACAGCATGAGCAGGGGAGGGTCAGAGAGAGAGGGAGTCACAGACTGAAACAGGCTCCAGGCTCTGAGCCGGCAGCACAGAGCCCAACGCGGGGCTCGAACCCACGAACCGCGAGATCACGACCCAAGCGAAAGTCGGACGCCCAACCGACCAAGCCACCCAGGCGCCCCTCTAAGCCCGTCTTTAAGGTGATTCCCCTCCTCATACGCAGGAGATCTTGCCTCCTCACATCTACTCATGCATATTCACTCCAGTAATTCCCCCATTCTGTTTATATCATCAGCTATTCCCTCACTGTGAAATCATTCCCACCCACATGAAACCATGCTGTTATTTCTCTGATGCTAAAAACAAAACAAACCAACCCTTCTTCCAGTTTCATCTATTGCCTTATCCCTTTATAGCAAAAGCTCTTAAAAGAGTTGTCTAAAAAAGTTGCTCAAGTAATTTTTCTCTTTCTATTCTCTCTCTAAACCCATTTCAGTTGAGTTTCTGCCTCTGACACTCCCAGGACACCAATAGCCACCAGGCAACTAATATGACTGTCAATCCTCAGCCCTCATCTTTCCTAACCCATCGCTACATCTGCCACAGCGGCCACTCCTCTGTCCCTGAACCTCCTTCACTTGGCTTCCAGGACACTGAACTTTCCTGTTTTTCTTTCCTATTTAGGTGTCCTTTGCTAGCTCCCGTTCTTCCCCAGACCTGTGCCCTGGGAACTCTTCTGGTCGCCATTTACACTCACTCAGTGATCTCATCCCATGTCATGGCTTTGAGAAAAAATTTCTGCTGCTGGACTTCCAAGTGTACAGATCCAACCCAGGCCTTTTCTCATAAACCTGCTCATCCATCTAGCTGCTCTCTGCTGTTTGTACTCAGACACCCAGTGTGCATCTCAAATGAAACCTGTCCAGCACCGGATACCCAGTCTTCTCCAAAAACTTTTTTGCCTGCAGTCCTCTCCATTTCAGTTAATGGTCATTCCATCTTTCTAGTGGCTCAGGCCAAACCTAGGACTCAGCATTATCTTTTCTTTCTTTCTTTACACACCTGGCCCACCAGCAAATCTCTTGGCTCTAGTTTAGCGTCTCCCATTACTTCTGTCCTGTTCGAAGCCACCATCATCTCTTGTCTGGTTTGTGAGAATGGCTACCTGATCTGCCTCCTCACTCCTACCCTTTACAGTTGAATTTAACAGTACAGTCGGGGGATCTTTTCCAGATCCAGAGTCACCCATTCTTCTCAACATTTTATAATCTTTTATTCAGATTATGAGTAAAGGCCGCACAGGACTAGGCCCCTGGTTAGCTTTCTCTTTACTACTCTCCCCTCTCTCCTGGACAGGCCAGGCAAGCTCCAGCCTCTGAGCCTTCACACTGGCCATTTCTCCTTCTCCATCTGCTCTTCCCCCAAATGTATACAACTTATTCTCTCACCTCCTTGAATGTTTTACTCAAATGCCACCTTACCAGTAGGCATACCCTGACCACCTGATTCACAACTGCACTCGCTCCACTTTCCTAATCCTCCTTATTTTGTTCTAATTTTTCCCTATAAACTTTAAAGCCTTCTAAAATACCATATACTTTATTTACATGCACATGTATGTCTCTCTCTCCCCACTGAAGTGTAAGCTCCACTGGGATGGGAAGTTTTGTTCACTAGTGGACTCTCAGCACCTAGAAGATTATGCGGCATACAGTAGGTGCTCACTGAAGTCTTCAAGTGAATGAATGAAAAAAAAATGAATATTAAATATTTCAAGTTCTTTGAATTGCTTAAAATTAGGATTGTTTATATGGAGATGATGAGTTATTCATTCTTATATTACTATAGACAGGTAGTTTAATTCCCAGATGGGTAGTTCCATTTCCTAACGTGATGTCTGGAGAACTGTTCACGGACAGTGGTTAGACAATTGACCTTCTTATCTCTCAAGTGCTTATACGTCAAAAAACTTGAATTGCTTTAGGCATAATAGACTTTACATTAGTTTTATTATCTCTGGTTATATGAAGGGCAAAATAATAGAATGCACTTTTGCATTTACGACTAGGCTCATAAACACTCTGGGGCTCTCAACAGCTCATTTCATGGATAATATGAAAAGTTGAAATGCATTCAGTGAATACCACAAAGAATGACTGACTTGGGTATAACCTATGTAACCATAGCCAGGGTTCACATTCTGATCATGAACTCCAGATGGTTTGTAAGGCTGCTACCGTATTGACTAACCTCTACTTGTCCTTCCCACCAAAACCTGAGATGAGAACCTTGCTTTTTTCTGCGGAAACAACTAAACTCAGATAATAGTTGACTAAAGAAGACTGGGCCTGGTTAAATACCAAGGAGATACTGACAACTGGAGATGTGAATTTCAAGTTACTGTGACTCATGAACATCAAGTGATCAGAAACAAATAGATAAGGCTCAGGGATTGTTAATACATTTGAGAGCTTTGCTGAATATCTAACCTTAAGAGTTATAGGCTATTGTTTTGAAACTGTCACAAAATAAAATCTTTTACTTGATTCTATATAGAAGTATGCATGTAATCAGATAGAAGCAGTGGCACCTGTGAATCTGTTCCCTGTGTGTGTGTGTTCCTTCCTGTGCTCGGATTTCAGAGATCACCATGCTGCTCAAGGCAGCAACAAACAGAAGAGGCTAAATGTGGGAGCGAACACTTTATTTCCATTTAAATTCCTGGTCTTCAAAACGTAGACAATAATACTTGGCCCCAATTAGACAGGATGTAAAAACTGGAAAATATCCAAGTAAGGTGCCAAGAGGGAAATACTTTACAAACATGGATTTTCAGCATTTTACTATCGGGGGGGGGGGGGGGGGGGAGACAAATACAGGTTTCACTAAAACAGCTTTCATCATTCAACAAACCTGAAAGTGTCTGTATATATTTCCCAGAATGATGAGCCAGTAAAAGCCCCAAGGTTAGCTAGATTCCTAATCATGACAAAAGCACACGGAGCACAAACACGAGGGCCCACCTTGTTGGTTTCACTGGCTCCCTCTGTGGCTCCTTCCCCTTCTGCCTTGCTCTCTCCCTTCTCCTGAAGGTTTTCATTCTCATCCAGAAGTTTAACGGGGACAGGCGGTGGGGCTTCCTCTTCCAGATCGCATGAATTTCCAAGAACAGTCTCCGCATTAACACTCTGTCGACACTTTTTGTTTCTGTCCACTGAGGCATACTCGGCAAAGTCCGCTTGGGGGGCTTGGGGCCCTGGAAGCTCTTTCAAAGCAGAAGTTGACTTTGACCTGCTGCTGTGACCTTTCACGGCTGCTGCCACCTCCTTAATTTCTTTCACAGTTTCATACAAGCAGTCCTCCACCATATTTTCTTGGGAGGAACTATCCTTGAGCACTTCGTACGGCCCTTCCGTCCCCAGGCCTGGGTCCCCGTCCACACTTCTCGCGTTGAGCATCGTGTCCACTGCACTGTCCGGAGGAATTCTGGGTAGTTCCCGGCTCTGATGGCATTTCGCCTTTCCTGAGCTGTCCTGGGAGTCCAGCAGATCTGAGGCTGAGGTCTGGACTTCCTCATAATGTTGCATGCAGGTCAGAGTACTGTCTTCTGAAAGAACTAAAGCCACAAAAGTATTAAAAATGGGGAAAGACAATTCCTTAAATAATTACTACAGTGAATTGGATAATGCATGGTTAGGTTAAATCAAGGTACTTTTTACTGGTCTCTAAACTGCAAATTACAGATGTATGATTGTTACCTGATATTATTTCAACCACAGTTGAAACTAAAACCAGCTATTACATCCTTCTGATACAATATTTAATAAATTGTGTTGGCTATTAATTTGGTTCACAGTTACTTTTATTGCATAATGGTGGGAGTCTGGTAGGCAGAGTGTATAGCGTGACCAGAGGAAGAAAGTGATATTCCATGGAGCCAGACTGTGAGCGGCTTGGCACCACAGTGGGGGGCATGGGTGGGGGCCACCCTCACTGGCCTTACTGGCCACCTCCCGTTTGGAGGCAATAACTGGGAACCATCCCCTTTCAATGGTCACTTTTGTTTGGCAGACATGATAGAAACAATGGGGCACAAATGTGCCCTAACCCAGTGTTACTCAGGGACTGCACACTGTGCCTCTTCCTTCCATCTCACTGCCCTTCCCCCTACCATTCCTAAATTAGAAAATCCACATGTGAAATTCTTCGATTTCCACAGAAATGTTATTGTGTGAAACCACTCAGTCATGTTTTCTCAGTGCCTATAGTCTTCATGTATAAGCATAAAAAATATAAGTATATATGAATATTCATGCATATATTTATCTTACATGCTCTTTAAATAGTATATAGTTCTTACATATTATATATAGTCTTTATAGATGTATGTATGTATATGTTTATAACATATGAGTTTTAATCTTCACTTTCTTTACTGACTAGACTGGGATTCTCTGCGACCCCTGCAGCTCAGGACAGCATCCAACACAATGGCAGGTGACACTGTTTACTTGCTCATCACAGAGGGGTTGAACTTTTGCCCTCTGGCCCCAGACATGTGTCATGGTGGTCCAAGGACAGGCAATGGAGTCTGCAGCTTCTGGGGTAGATATTGCCTCCCCTCCCTGAGTTACCTTAGCTGTACACAGGTATACAATTAATATTTATTAATTTTAACAAATTAAAATTTGTCCTTGTAACAGGACAAGCTCAGGTGAAAGCACTTTGTAAACTGGAAAGTGTGAAGTGTAGTTGCTATTTTTGTCATGGAGAGCACCCCGTGCATGCAACAGGCAGTATGCAGAGTGGATCCAAAGGTGTGCCCGGAACTCGGGTTACAGATCGTCAGCGCACTGGCTGTGATCTCAGGCAAACTATCAGCCTGTCCAAGGTGGGCAGGATTAAGGCCTCCAAAAAGTGTCCATGTCCCAATCTCTGGGACCTGTGTGTGTGTGTGTGTTATGTTACATGGCAAGGGAGGAATTAAGGATACAGATGAACTATCAGCTGACCCTGAGAAGGGAGAGTAGCCTGGGTCACCCAGGGTGGGCCCTACGTAATCACGAGAGAGGTGTTGTTTTTTTTTTTTTTTGTTTTGTTTTAATGTTTATTTACTTTTGAGCTAGCAGGGGAGGAGGGAGAGAGAGACAGAGAGGATCCAAAGTGGGTTCTGAGCTGTCAGCACAGAGCCTGATGTAAGGCTCAAACTCATGAGCCATGAGATCATGAACTGAGCCGAAGTCAGTTGCTTAACTGACTAAGCCACCAAGGTCCCCCAAGGGTCCTTTTAGTGACAGAGCAGGGCAGGAGAGTTAGGGAGAGATGTAAAGATGGAGGGAAAGGCTAGGAATCAACAAATGCAGGCGGCCCCTAGAAGATGAAACAGGTAAGGGAACAGATTCACCCCCAGAGCCTCTAGGAAGAAGTGCATTTCTGCTGATACTTTAACTTTAAAGCTGTAAGTTAATACCCTTCAGTTGTTCTCAGGCACTAAGTTTGTGGTGATGTGTTGAACCAGCCGTGTGCTGCGGGTTCTTCACCTCTAAGCTGTGGACAGTGGCAACAGCTGCCTTACAGGCAGGGACAATATTACTAGTACTATCAGTAATCTTATAGGAGTTGTATGGATGGTTCGTATACAAACAGATCTTAGAGCAATGGCATGGAGAAACCAAATAATAAATATTAGCTTTTCATCCAGATTTAGCTTTGCTAAAACTGGTAGGAACACTAAGAGTGAGCAAGCACACATTTCCTAGTTTTTGAGCTACATTTTTTTGAGATGTGCTAGGGTCTACATGGAAAGCTGGTATTTTTCTTTGACTTACTGTCCCCATTGGTGACTATTCCGTTCTGTTCACTGCTGGCAGGTGCATCTGTGGCCAGGCTAGTCACTGAGCGGCTGAACATCTCCTTGTCAGAAGGCTGCAAAGCAAACATACCACATGAAGAATCAGACTGCGGGCAGAGGAGAGCGCCATGGCTTTTTCTAAAAACAGCAGCAGCAAAAACCCAAATCCACTTAAACTAAGTGAAATTAAACAAAATTCAGTTGCTTAGTTCTACCAGTCATCAGCCACAGGCAGCTAGTGATTACTGCATCAGATCAGGTATAGAACACTTCCATCATGATGGAAAGCCCTACGTGACAGAATTGTTCTAGAATCTTCAAGGCCATTTGCAGAGCTTTCCACCTGGTGTCTCCAAGTGGGCTACAGGCAGGCCATGAGGGGTCAGTCCCCAAGGCCCAGTGCGGGTCAGAAGTGACCCCAGCAGAGAGCGCTCTCATCCTTCCTAATACCACAGGTGCTGTAAAATGTTTTGTTGTTTTTTTTTAATAATTTTTAATTTTAGACGTGCCTGCGTGGCTCAGTCGGTTAAACATCCAATTTCAGGTCAGGTCATGATCTCACTGCTCATGGGTTCAAGTCCCACCTCAGACTCTGTGCTGACAGCTCAGAGCCTGGAGCGTGGTTCTGATTCTGTGTGTTTCCCTCAATCTCTTTGCCCCTCCCTGGCTCATGCTCTGTCTCTCAAAAATAAACATTAAAAATTTTTCAAAATTTCTTTAAATTTTATTTTAGAGAGCAAGAGCATGTGCACACATGATCAGAGAAGAGGGGCAGCGGGAGAGGGGGAGAGAGAGAGAACCTTGACCAGACTCCACGCTCAGTGAGGAGGCTGATGTGGGCTTGATTCTATGACCCTGTTGTTATGACCTGAGCTGAAATCAAGAGTCAGATGTGCAACTGACTGAGCCATCTAGGTGCCCCATAAAATGCTATTCTTAAAGGCCTGCCACACCAAGACAGATATGCCATCTGAAGGGAAGAGGCTTAAGTCTGGTCGAAAATAGATACTATTCTTGATTTCTGAGACTTTCATAACCAGCCAGCTCTCTGCTTTAAGGTTCACAAGGACAATCATGTTAAACAGTAGGTTTGCAAATCTTATCCTCACAAATTCTGGATGCTTGGAAGAATGAGATTGAAGGTGTTTTCTACTGAGGTCAACATGGGAGATACTACATGGAATAAACAAGGAGTCAGAAAGCAGGTGTTTCTTTAAATGCCCAGCTGGTTCCCTGTGGCAGCCTGAGTGACTGCTAATGTGACCGGTTCCCAAATCCTTCTCATAGAACACAGTGCGCATGACCCAGGAGGCCACACCTGGACTGTGTTCTGGGATTGCACACGGGAAGTTCTGACATACACAGCACCAGAAACTTCCCTAGTTGGCCTCATAAATTCTCTGACTTCTTACTTGGAACCAGATGATGATGATGATGATGATGACGATGATAGAGCAAATAGCTCATGCTATGTCATGAACCCTTACTGAGAGTCCACTGTTTCAGTTTAATGCTGCTCCTAAGTGAAAGGGGCCAGGAGGTGGGTCACTGAGTTAGGATGCCAGGAGCTTTAGGTGCAGAGGCTCGTATCACAGAAAGGTTGCACCCGGACAGGAGTCAGATGTCGGGGGAAGGCCTCTAGCAAGGCTAATAACAGCCTAAGTACCCACTGCTGCTGAAGTAGCGTAGCCTGGGTCCTAGCCACCACTTCTACTCTCAGTGTCCATGAGAAAATGTGCCCAGAGGAGCCTGCAGTGAGCCCGCCGCTCTCATAGCTCAAGAAGCAGACTTCAGGACACCCCTGTGCCTCTGGATATTTTTAGGCTAGGAGTTAGTGGTGGCTCCTCTGGGGCTTAGGAGGGAACAAGGATGTACAAGCGCCGGGATCAGAGGTGGGGAGGCAAGGCGGACTCAAGGGGCTTCTTTGGCCTAAATGGCAAATCTGCAAGTTGAATAAGATTTAGCAGCTGAGGGGGAAGCTCTTAAAGAGAGCCAGGTGGGCAGGCTGCGGTGGGTGTGTGTGAGCTCGCGTACCACTGCCCACATGAACACGTGATTTGCGTGCTCTCTCCAACATGCCTGTAGAAGAAGGGCTCTGGGGTTATTAGTTAGGGACCTGGCGTGGGAAGAGTGAGCGTTTTCTCTTCACCCCCACGCCACTGCCTTCGACCTTACCGCTGACCCTGGGTGGGCAAGCAGGCACGGTCTACAACAGTTCTCACACTTGAGCACACGTCAGAATTATGTGGGGGGGGGGTGCTTGCTGACGGTTCCCTGGGCCCCACAAGCTTCAGGGGGGCTGCTGCTAGTGGCACAGGCCACACTTGAGAACGCTGCTTGGGAAGGACTTGGAAAGGAGGACAGAGACAGAAGCCCTTCCTCCAGCCCCAACCTCACCTACCAGCTGGCACCAAGGAACATGGCGGGGGGGGCGGGTGGTGAAGAAAGTCGGGGCCCGGGACCTACGTGTGGGAGGAGCAACAGTAGAGCTGCTCCCTACCCGCCCTTTTAAAAAAACTTCTTTAGGTTTATATGGAGAGAGAAAGAGAGCACACAAGTGTGTGCATGCATGAGTGGGGGAGGGGCAGAAAGACGGTGGGGAGAGAGAGAGGATCACAGGGCAGAGCCCAACATGGGGTTCGAATTCACAAATCATGAAATCATGACCTGAGCCTAAATCAAGAGTTGGATAGGGTGCCTGGGTGGCTCAAGCCATTAGGCGTCCGACTTTGGCTCAGGTCATGATCTCATGAGTTTGAGCCCCACATCGGGCTCTGTGCTGACAGCTCAGAGCCTGGAGCCTGCTTCAGATTTTGTCTCCTTCTCTCTGCCCCTCCCCCATTTGTACTCTGTCTCGCTCTCAAACACACACACACACACACACACACACACACACGAGTTGGAGACTTAATCAACTGAGCCACCCAGGCGCCCCTCCACCCTCCAGATGCCGCCACAGCAGTCATCTGTGTGCAGGACGGGAGGTGCTGTGCACAGCTGAGAAGTGGGGTTGATGGCCAGAGGCTGAAATGGGGGTGAGCCCTTCCTCACCCAGGAGAGCTGAGAACCCAGGACAGCAGTGGGTAAGGTGTGCATGCAGAGGAGGAGGCAAGGAAACCCCCAGGGGCTCCCCGGAGGAGGGAAGCCCCGATGACGACTTCCAGCCTGCTTGGAATACAAGAAGAGTCTTGCACGTCTGTAGGGTGGGTGACTGGGCCTGGAGACCCGTGCAGGGTTTGCTCTGACCCCGTGTGCTGGCTGTGCTGGCTGCCAGGTTTACACCCTCTCCCCTATAGCAGTTTTGTCTGATCTTCAGGAATTCTGTCAGGGACCGGAGACAGCTTCTCTGTTTTAGCCCTGCCACGGGGCTCCGGCACGACTGATGAAGTCAGCAGTGTGACTACGGGGTGGCCCCATCCCCGGCTGCTGGAGGTGCTCAGCCAGGGAAGGGCGTGAGTGGAGAGAACAAGGCGAGACCAGGACACTCGGGCTGCTCCTCACCAGGGTGGACCTGAGAGCCCCTCGGGCCCCCAGGTGAGAGCTGCGGACACCCAGCCGGGCCATATCGAGGTTGATGGGGGGGGGGGCCTACCTTTCGGTTAGCTTCATGACCAGCTATTATCGGTTGAACTGGATACTCCCCAAATTTCTGTGGTGAAGTCCTAACCTCCAAAATACCCTAGGAACATGCCCTTATTTGGAACAGGGTCATTGCAGATGAAAATAAGATGAGGTCACGCTGGAGTCCTTATAAAACAAGGAAGCCTGGACAGAGACACGCACAGAGGAAAGACCACACGGAGAGACACAGGGAGAAGACCACGAAGTACCCAGGAGTGGCAAAGAAGGCCGGCAAACCCTCAGAAGCCAGGAGATGGGCCTGGAACACATTTACCTTCCAAGCTCTCAGAAGAACCAATCAGCCCCACTGATGCCCTGATCTCCCCTTCTAGCCTCCAGAACTTCAAGATGATACATTTGTTATTTAAGCTGCACTGTTTGCGATCCTTTGTTATGCAGCCCTCGCACACTAATACAAGGCTGGAGCTGGGCAGAGGCTCCCAGCAGCAGGTTGGGGCTCTCTAAGAATTTTTCTGGCAACAGCACAACTGCATCCATTTCTGAAACTCTCCCAACCAACCGGGCTAATTGCATGGGCCTCTAGTCACACGGGCCTCTAGTCACGCTGCACCAGAGTCCTTCAGAGGGAGGACACAAGGCAGCCAGTTAACTCCGGCTGAGTCCTCCCCTGGGTTCCCCTTAGGTTGCCAGCGTGTGGGAACACACTTAGATCAGTGGCTGGTGTTTGGAAGCACGCACAGACATGTGCTATGGGCTCACCACGTTCATCAGGTTCTCGTGGTCCCCACTGTGCTGCCTCGGCTTCTTTTCTCTGAAATAGAAAAGAACACATCACTTTAATATCAAGCATGCCATCTAAAATCAAACGTACACTCCCCTTTGCTATCCTAATATTTGTCCACATTTTAATCTTTTAGGATCCTGGTTTACTGTGCCAAGGAAGCAAAAGCTGGACAGTGACTTCATCACTTCTCTGCAGGCGTCAGGGTCTGAGGGGTCAAGTCACAGCATGAGAGCAGTCACCTCGCTCGCTCACACCTTTCTCCCAGAGTAGAAAACAGAAGTTCACAAGAGGACTGAGGCACGTTCCTGAGCAGAAACTTGTCTCAGATCTAGAATACTGGAAAGAATTTTGCCTTTTTTTTTTTTTTCTTTTTTTTTTTAAGAAAACCCAGACAAACTCAGAGTCGGCTACACAGTGCAACGGGACTGGGAAAATAATGAAAGAAAATACAAATTTTGGCACGTCGGGAAGGATACATGCTCTCAGGATGAGTCATATGTACTTCCAGTCTATGGAAAAGTCCATCGAATAAAAATAGAATTTATTTTTACTCAGGACAGTCTAAAGAAAGCCATCAGTACTAGAGAATACATGTTCCATATTTGTACATGGCAACAGTGACGCCTAGTGGGAGTGTACATAATTACAAGCAGGCCCTCCCTAGTCCAGGAAAGCACACTCTCCACTGGCCTCTATTTCTGCATCTTCCTCACCAGACGCAGATCCAGCTGTAGAGCCCCAGGTCCAAGCTGGGAAGGGCCTGGAAAGCTACTTGGTTTGGAGAGTCTGATTTTCCTCCTCTTGACAGAGATTTCAGGGTAGGAAGTCCTATCCAAATTTGTAAATGACACTTGCTGGGTCACTCCTGAAGTCCCCGAGAGAAAGGTCTGGAGGTGGACTGGCCGAATTGCACCAGCCCCACAGCACCAATCTGCCAGGAGGCTGCATGTATCCTTTTTTAAATACATTTTTTAATGTTTATTCATTTTTGAGAGAGAGAGCACAAGGGAGAAAGGAGGGACAGAGAGTGAGACAGAGAATCTGAAGGACGCTCCAGGCTCTGAGCTGACAGCACAGAGCCCGAAGTGGGGCTTGAACTCACGAACTGTGAGATCATGACCTGAGCCAAAGTTGGATGCTTAACTGATTGAGTCACCCAGGAGCTCCTGCAAGTATCCTAACATCCTCGGAACACCTGGGAATCACTCCCAACATGTTAGAAAGACCTTTGCTTCTGAGCAAAAATCTTTTTTTCGGGGTGGGGGATACAGACATTCTATATGAGGGAGACCTGGGTGGGGAGAAGAAGCATAACTCTAAAAACCACCAAGATGATTATTTTGTCTCTCTCCTAGGAAATTCCGTCTGTTTCTTAACAAATTGCAGTTCTAGATTACAAATCTTTAATGGTCCTTTCAAAGCACGTAACAGCAATAGTAATCAGTAACTCTCAAGTGGCAGCAGAGTATCTTTAATGCACATCACACTTAGACCTCCAAATGCCTACAGACGGGCAGACACAATATACGGGCAGACACAATATACGGGCAGACACAATATAAATTTAACAAGGATGTGCCTAAAAGAACGGCAAGAACTTCATTCTGGGAAGTTTCATAGACAAGGGTTCTCCCAATTGCTCCTGAGCCAATTCAAATATGGATTTTCATTCAATGAACAGAAAAACATCCTGGGGCACTCTGCGGCACAGACACTAGTTAATTTTAACACAGGGGTTTCTGTGAATGTCTGTGGATCAGGATTCTGTTTACAACATGCTTTTCCCATGAAGACGCTTCTGGGCACAGGGGAAGGGTTATCTCAAGGTTCCAGCCGATACACGTCAGATCTCACCTGTCACAACTGGAACACAGAAAGATGAGGAAGCTGATGAGGAAGAAAGTGACGAGAGCTGCCAAGCTGCCCCACAGGACAACCTGCATCTGTCCGCTGCTGAGCATGCTCCCCGAGGGTCCCATGGTGGGAGCAGGAAGTGGCACAAGCTGGAGGGTCGGTCAGTCCTTCAAAGGTGGTAACATGGGTGCAGAGGGCTTCGTCGTCCTGTGGAGAAGAGACCAGTGGGCTTTGAAACGGCTTCTCAGGTGAAGTGACACAATCTTGTAATCAGTGCATGTCAGGAGGAAGCCCAAGAGCCAAGGCAGGGCCGTGGGTGCGGGACGCTCTGCACTCAGCTGGACCCCTGCCTCTGGGCAAGTCCCCTCTGCTGTCCAGGCCTTTGCTTCCCTCACCTGAAAACGCACACTGGGAATGCACGAGCACCCAGCACAGGGCTTGAGGCAATGAACGGCTTACGGTTTTGCTATGTTTGGGGATAGATTCTTTAAAAAAATTTTTTTTTCAACGTGTATTTATTTTTGAGACAGAGACAGACAGAGCATGAGCTGGGGAGGGGCAGAGAGAGAGGGAGACACAGAATCTGAAACAGGCTCCAGGCTCTGAGCTGTCAGCACAGAGCCTGGTGTGAGGTTCGAACCCACGGGCTGTGAGATCATGACCTGAGCCGAAGTCGGACGCTTAACCGACTGAGGCACCCGGGCGAGTTTGGGGATAGGTTCTTAATGTCCGCAAATAAAATAAAATTCCAGATACTCCATAGCAAATAAGTGCTTACTTGGATTTTATTTTTTCCAGAGCAGTGTAAAGCATTTGTTATTGCTTTCACAAAAATGCAGTTCACATTTCCCACCCATCTTCCTAGCACCAAACCTGCTTTTCTCGGAGAAGGTCTAAGGTCAATACAATTAATGAAAGAAAATATTGTATATTCACCTTCATAAGAGTTACGTACTGTGAATATGTAACTGTTCCCAGGGCCAGCTCTGCGAGCCCTCAATAAGTACATTTTCAAATGGACACATGAAAGCACGTGCTGAGAACACACCACCAGCAGTAACTAAGACCTATTTATAAGCAACTACAAACGGGGCATAAGAGCTGCACCTGTGCGTGTTCGGACCTGGCATGTCCTGGACTCTTGCTCCATGCTTTCCTCATTTAATCGCTGCTACCAGACTGGGAGCAGGGCCCTGCTCCTCCCCATTTTTCAGACAAGGAAACTGAATGGCGGAGACACTAAGTTCTCCTACGATGTCCTGGATGCTATGTGGCAGGTGAGGATGTGAGTCCAGCCATTTGTGACTCTACACCTGTAGTCTTAGCCCCGAGAGGAAGCTCCTTCTCAATGGGGGGTACAGCTTGCTCCCCATTCCGGCGACAATGCTGCTAAGTGCAAATGGCCAGATGAGGTCTGTGAAATATTTCAAGAGTGATAGATTTTTGAAAAAGAGTCACATATCAAAAATTAATGATTATCACGGGAGATACAGGCTTCCAGTTATGGACTGAATCAGTCATGGGAATAAAAGGCAGAGCACAGGGAACACAGTCAACAGTACTGTAATAGGGTCATATGGTGACACACGGTGGCTACACCCATGGTGAGCACAGCATAATGTGGAGAAACGGAATCATGATGCTGGACACCGGGAACTAATAAAACATTGTGTGTCAACTATACTCAAATAAAAATAATTTTTTAAGGTTATTTATTTATTTATTGAGAGAGAGAGAGAGAGAGAGAGCGCGCACGCGAGCGAGCAGGGGAAGGGCAGAGAGAGAAGGAGACAGAATCCCAAGCAGGCTCCACACTGTCAGTGCAGAGCCTGACATGGGGCTCGAACTCATGCAACTGTGAGTTCATGACCTGAGCCGAAACCAAGAGTTGGACACTTAACCCGACTGAGCCACCCAGGCACTCCTCAAATAAAAAATAATTTTAATTAACAATTATCTCCTGTCAGAGAGGCCTTGTTTATAAACATTTGCTTTGCTCAATTCAAGAATATTCTAACTTAAAAGGAATAGCCTGTAACTCAACGTCAACTTTCAAGAATAAACTGAGCAAATTATTGTGTTAATGAATAAGAACTCAAAAAAATTTATTTTCATGCAAAAGACTGTCCACGTTTACATTTTCATTTGCTTCTCTGAGAGAGCCGTGACTGCATTTCGGGAGCACCACGCTGTCTGCATCAAGCCAGCACCTGGAGGGCTCAGTGCCAAGCAGGAGCACGTGTTGAAGGGCCTCGGAGAATAAAAGCCATTTCAGCAAAGGCAGTTGAACTGGACCAAATTTTCTCTGAGTGGAACACATCGTATTTATTTGAATATTTAAGGCTGAAGAATAATAAAAAGCTGGAGAAAAAGAAACTTTATCCACAACGTATGCAGGCTATTCTAGACGAAGTCCATGTTTGTCCTTAGGTCCCTGAGTCAACACGAACACTTCCTAACGCTCTGTCAATATATAAACGTACGACTTCCTGTGTAACACGCACCGTCTTCCTATGTCGGTTCTACATGGCGCCTGCGAACAATACACACATACAGTGATAGATGGTCAAACTGCTCTCACATGTTTGCCCCCGGACAGCTATCGCTGGGTGAAAATAACCACCGCGTCTCTTCTGATTTGTTGAAGCAGTGAATAATTTACTTTAAATTTAGACTACAAATGGGCACCGCAGTTACTAAAATATATTCAAGCAAGCACATAAATCAAGGCAACCTATGAATATATATGATAACCAATTTTCCTATACGGGTCCGAAGGATAACGCATTTTAGGAAGCGCAAACAAAAGGTATCTGTTGCGCAGGCACTGGTTTGTTCCTTCATTCATTCACTCGTACAACAGATATAATCAATGTCTATTTATAAAGTGCCAGATTCCTAGAAAATAGTTTGCCATGTGAATTATTCAAAAGCCAGATATCCATCAGCAAGCTGATGTAGAATCTGTAGGACCTTTGTCTATTTCTGTACACGTTTCTCTTCTTTTCTCTCCCCCTCATCGGGGAAAGCTGGTCGAATCCAGTGAAATATGTGGGGTGCCCAGCCTACCAGAACACGGCAGGGAGAGAGAGGATGAAAGCGGATTATTACGAGCTACTGAATAAAAGATGTAACTCAGAGAAAATGTGTCAAAGCTCCTGGCTCACTCCCCTTCAACTAAAATGTGCTGAAAAGCTACTACAAGAACTACTGTTTCATGGACAAGGATCTCCCAACGGAAAGAACAATCATCATCAAGTTTCTGGGCCGCACACCTTGTAATCCCTCAGGGCAGGGGCTGCTCCTAGTGAAACCTGACATGAGGGCCCGAGACAGCACTGCTCACGGACAGCTTCCCTTTTAGGGGCCTGGCGGATGCTGGGGTTTCCACATGCATGACCCCTGACTCACAGCAGGACCTCCCATTCATTCTTCTCTCCTGGTCTCTTCCTCTCTCTGCACTTCCACTTCCCAGTTCTCCTGCCTGTTCCTTCTCTGGTCATCTCCTTACATTTTGGTGTCTTATCTGTAAGTAAGACAGGACTGTCCCTCCCCACCCCATGTATACAGATGAACTACCCCTCCCCATATGTGTAGCTGGGCTCCCCCCTCCTTGTGCGGATGCACGTGACTTCCATGTTCTTTCCTTCTTGGTGGGGCTGAGAGCACAGGCCTTGTGCGGACGCCCCGGGGCTGTCCAATCAGTGCAATGGCCTGTCTTTTTACTGGTTTCGCTGAGGTTAAACACAGAGCTCAGGGGTCAATTTAGTGTGTTATGAGGGGTGAGTGGGGTGTCTTTCCATGTGGCCAGAAGGCGTCTCTCAGGATTAGCAACAGAAAGAATAAGAGTATGGGGAGCACAGCGTCTGGGAAGTACAAAGTCACCCCGAAAAGGACGGCTCCTGCCACAATGATGGCATTTTCCAGACCACTCACTGTGCCCCTTTTCCAACCAAGTTCCATGTGGAAAAGACGATCTAAGGCTCCAAAGTCCATGCTACTATTACTGGTCCTGAGAATCATCTTATTTGCTGCTAATGCCTATATCAAGTACGGTATTTTCTGAGCACCCAGAATTAGTGCATACCAGCAGAAATACATGCACAATTCGGAGTGATCTCCCATTTAAGAGAGATATTGAAGAGAGATTTAAACCTATTTCTTTCAATTCTGTTCTTACCTGACTCAATAAAATTATATATTCAACTATAGATTATTTTTTTGAAGTTGAAAAGATATTTCATCGTCAGACCACATGTATAAATATTCTATGAGTTACTCAACACAGGGAAAAGGAACACTATTCACTGCACCTCAACTAACATTTAAGATGGCTCCTGAATGCCCCACTAGGATTTGTAGATGATCATAATTAGATGATAATTAGATGATAATTAGTTGTAGATGATCATCAGAGTAATAGTTGCACATCAATTATTTTTGTTTTAGAACAGACTTCATTATTGGCTGCATTGCTGTACAATCACGGCTAAGACAGTCACGTAAGACAAATGTGTGATATTGTTGTGAAATAGGCAATGGTACCATCCCTCACCCCTAATTTTATAATTCAGACTACTGTGGGAACTTGTCATTTGGCCCCGAGAAAGGTCAGTACTTGAAGTTACAGAACGTCTGTTGAGGATCCTCTGCAAGGATCTTAAAAGTCTGACTGAATAATTATTTTGAGCAAAATTATTTTGCTCCAGAATGTCTGATCCTTTTATATCCATTTATGTTTTTAATCAATAGGTGATTCAAGCAGTAGAAACACTGATAGCCTTTTACTCTAAAAGTAGGGGCCACTATTAGCCACAAGGTGGCAGTATTATCCTATTCTCAGCCCTAATCTTCAGCCTCTTCACTGACCGCTATCCCTGAGGTTGGTGCCTTGTGCTAGGCATTTTGTCTTCATTAGCCTAGACTATCAGCCACTGAAATCAATTCCGACAGAAAAGAAAACAAAAACAAGATGGAATTAATGAAAGGTGATGACCAGATGACAGCTATTTTCTTTTTATAACGTTCTTAACAGGTAGGTGCTCTGATTACGGCAAATTCTGTAAGTAATAACTTGGTCGAGTTGGGATGGCCGGTGAGATTAGCTGCAGAAGCAGACACTTTAATTCCTCCGAAGTAGATTTAGGTTGGTAATGATGGTCATTACCACTTTACAGCTGTCCTAGTCAACGCATAATTATGATAGAAACCGCCTCCACTGATGACCCCTCACTGATGAGCAAAATGCGGACAGGACCCAACCCCATGGGAGCTCTTCCTTCCTGGTCATTACCAGGTGTGGGAATCATGAGTTAAAATGATGCTTTATGAGCTACGGATTAACTGAACAAATTTAACAATGGCTGAGGAGCTAAATTCTCTGCTGGGCTCCTGTTCCGTGAGGCACATTCTCAGATGCACGTGCTAAGGCTAAATTAACCTCTCAATAGAATTCTTGAGTTCCGTGCAAGAGTTTGAAGCTAAAATATTGAAATTCAGGTAGATTTCTCTTCAGAGTAAGGAGACTGGGATATAGGC